ATATATATATATATATATATATATATATATATATATATGTATGTATGTTTGTGTGTGTGCTTGGTGTGTGTGTGTGTAGGTGTGTTCTTTTTGCTCATCTCGAAAGCACCACATATCACTGCTCAGCTGTCAATTCTGTGCAAATTCTGAAAGCTTTTTACCCTTGGAAATCATTCTCCAAATATTAATTTATTATTTATTTATTCTATGACAAAATATATTCTCTAAAAACTTTTTCTTCAGTCTCCAATAACATTAGTTATTACTATCAGCATTGACTTTTTTTTTTTCTTCTAATTTTACTTTAAAAATGATTTTCCCTTTCAGATATAGATATTTTTTTTTTCATGAATTTAATAAAAACACAAAAATAATTCCATAGAAACTCCACAAAGGGTATTGCTGATTTTGTATCTGGGGTTACATTTAGGACTAAGATGTAAATTTAGTTTAGGATTGGATTGAGTTAGGTATGTCCCAGTAACAGTTAGATTTAGGGTAAGGGTCACAGTTAGGCCACAGGAAGTTATGGAAGTCAATGTAAAGATTGTCAGACAATTGTGTTTACCATTTCTCAGTATACTGGATTTAAACGACATATGGTTTTTGCATAGTCTTTGGAATTCTAATTATTAACCTCTCCATGTGAAGCATCTGTTGTCCCTCAATTATTATTTTGTTTTGCTTTTTGTGCATTATTGACTAGTCTGTGTATGATTTTTTGCTTTTGGCTTTCTCCTAACCCATTGGCACCTCAGAGCTACATCACAAGTAGTAGGAACCTTTTTCTCTCTTTGTTGGATCTTTAACACTGGTGAAAAAAATCTAAAAATAACATAGAAAGGTGAGAGACCAGGGGTGCTGGTACATCAGAATATCTGTGACTAAGAATTGCCCAAACCCCTGTGTTAGAAGTGTGGAATTCAACTATGAATAGTTTTTTTGGATCAGGGGAATGGAGGGCGGGGAAGACTTGAAGAGATTTTTGACTTATGAAAAAGCTTTATTAGCGTGATCATTCCAGCAAAACTTACTGAAAGCATTAAGGGGAGCAGCGACCTAATTACAGTTTAGTATGAACCGATGGAAAAAATTTGGTGAAAACAAGGAACCTTTGTAATTGCTTCGATCTGTGGGGGTTGGCTATTCCTTAACAGTAGTGGTCTTACCAGTGTCCATCATGATTTGATTGGGGGAAATAATCAAGCCACTCTAACAAAAAATACTATTTTGGAGAAGACAAAGGAGAACAGATCAAACATTACATTTGGGAGATTCAAGGACCTTGGAATAGATCAAGATGTCAAGGTAAACAAAGTGTCCGACCATATCTCTTAATACATCCTTAACAAGGGACTGGAAAGCAGCAGAGGTAGTAGTCAGGCTGAAGAGCATGACCAGATATTTTATAATTACCAATAGGAGTATTGAAAGCAGTTTTGTATTAATGTCCTTCTCTGATATGAAGCAGGTGATAGGAATTACATGGAAGCAACTTGGTGAAACATTTAGACCCTGAATTTGATCTAAAGCAGTTTTTTTTATAAGAGGGAGAGGGTATCTGTTCATAACAGTAATGTCATTGATCCCTCTATAGCTGTGTGTTTCTTTGATGGGCCGCCTGTGGAGCTTACAGTTGCTTTTGCATCTCTCTCTCTTTTTCTATGTCTTCTTCTGTCTCCATGAACACCCGACGGCCTCTACAGATGGTCCCTTTTACTGGGTCTGGTTTTGGTGGAGGTTTCTTCCTGTTAAAAGGGAGTTTTTCCTCTCCACTGTTGCTACAAGTATGCTTAGTGTGAGGGACTGCCTTCGAGTCATTGAGTCGATGCAATCAAATGGTTTTCCTTAGATAGAAAACTTTGAATCAATTTAACTGTACGATCTGGTTGAATTGTGAATTGCCTTGAGATGACATGTGTTGTGAATGGGTGCTATATAAATAAACTGAATTGAACTGAAAACTTCAAAACATGGTCAAGGAGACCAATTCTTAGTTCCAACAAAAAAAAAAGGAATCCCACATCAGCAGAATAAAGCAGTTGAATGAAGTTTGCTTTCAGGGACTTGTCCTCATATTTCTTAATGGAGTAATATTCAGGAGCACACCAGGTGTAAAGGTGCCACCTAGGGCAGATGTATCTGGGAGGAAGTCAATAGAACAATCATAGCGCCAATGAGGTGGTAATGGAGTGACATGAGACTTATTAAACACCTCTGTGTGACTGTGGTAATCCACTGGAACCTTGGAAAATTAGGATAATTCTCCTCCACATCAGTCTCAGAGATAGGGAGAGAAACAGACAGAAGAGACAGACGGTAGACAGGTGGCTAAATAGAAGCCTGACTGCTCTGGAACCTCTGTACAGTATTTCTCCAGTCTATATGGGACCTGTGTTTGTTGAACCAAATGGGACCAAGAGTTACAGTATAGGTAGCGGTGGGGAAGTTCTTAGGACAAAAGAGATTTCCTAACGATGATTACCGCCAATAATCTGGCAAATTTTCTCAATAACTTGGTTGGTCTTGTTGAGGTGATGGCCCTCCAAAGATACAGTAGGACATTGTTGGAGGAGGGCGCTGGGAGAAGCTTGACTCTCAGATTTTGGGCAAAGCTGACATTCATAAGTTCTGTGTCCGCCTCTGAGCTAATGAACACAGAAATGTAGTGAGTAGCAGAATAAACCACAAGGTCAGCTAAGAAAAGGTGAATGACGAGGAGACTGAGAAAGATTTAGGCTCAGTAGAGTTCTCACCTCGATTGGGTCTGATATTTTAATGGACAGCAAGACACTGTCCTTGCCTCCACAATAAAAGCAAAAATCCAACTGCTTTGTTTTTGGGTTAAGTTAAGGTTTCAGGGTCTCCATAATTAGGACTGGGAAACAAAGTCTTGTTTAAGTCAGGTGATCTTGGGGAAACAGCAAATCATCCAACAAGGGTTCATGTTGACCAGATAATACTGTAACAACTAGAAAAACAGAGGACTGGAAAAGACAGCCTGACTCCACTTGACAAGTTTAAAAGTTTTATTTAAAACTCCAGGTAGTAAATGACAGCCAATCTTCAGTAGAGGGATCAGGAACCTCTGAAAGCAGAGCAACATTAGTGAGTGAATAGGTGAGGGCAGAACTTTGATTGGCACAGGACACAGCTGCAAAGGCTGACTTTTGATTCTTTTTCTGAGAAGGTTAGGATGGTGTCAAAGGATGTCAGATGCTCAGGGAATCAGACTAATCTAAAATTGATTAAAGGTTGGAAAACAACAGAGGTAACAAACCACTTCCGAAGCAGTCTTCTCTCCAGACTGTTTATCAGAATAATGGTCAGAACCATGAAAACAGGATTCAAAGGCAGAATCTGTAAGAAAGCCGAGAACCAGAGACCAGAACTAGGGTCAGAACCATGGAGGCAGATTCAGGTTTATGGATTTAGAGAGAAGCAAGAGGCACAGGTCAGGAGGCAGAAACATGGTCGGTGTCGATTAGAAAGCTCCAAGTTGTCTGGTATGGGTAAGGCAGAAACAAGGACTCCGCGGATCAAAGAAGAAATGCCGGACATCTGCTCACGCTTGTTTATCGATATTCTGACAGTCTATCTGCCAGAGAGCTGCATATAAGGGCAGGAGAGCAGGTGCATTATGAGCTTTATTGCACTGCTGCCAGTAGAGCGCAGGTTGACCTGATGACCTTGATTATTTAGGGAAAACCTTGTAGTAGAGAATTAGAAATGGGCAGAATCATGTGTTTTATGTTTTTTTTTTTTTGTTTTTTTTTTTCTACCTGTCAATGCCTCACCTAAATTCCCCCAATGTGACAAAAAAGGCATAGTGTTGCATTTCTCAATGCAACACCATTTTAAACACAGTGATGACAAGACTGAATTGATTTTAATGAAGCAATATTATTGATAAATATAAGCACAGCTTACTGAAAAGGTTTGACCTTCTGTAAACATCATTTTTTAGGCCAGACATCTAGGTGGTTGCTCCTGTTTTCATCATTGTAATTGATATCTTTATTACAAAATGTGCATAATGTGTGAGCTCTGGTCTTTGACTAAGACAAACTTTTTGCTTTATGTTTAATGAAATAAAGATAATACTTTTCTGGTTGCGTTTTGTTTTTTTATCCTCTTTGACTCCACCTTTTATTCTCCCAACGTCTCTCTTTTATACATTAACCTACCCTCACTCTAAACCACAATGCAAGAGGTCACCTTCAAAAGAGAATCAATTACTGTGCCTCTAAGGTCACTTAGTGAATTATAAAACTGGCTACTGTTTACAATAGGTTTTAGTACACTTTTACATAAATTAATCAAAATGTCTTGAAATTCACTAGAGGATTGGCAATATATCTGACAGGAAGATAGTAATAGGTACCAAATAATAAAAAAAAAAAAAAATGTATTATATTTTGGTAAAAAAATAGCTTAAATAAAAATGATATATTTTCTGCTGTCTGTCTTAACCATATATACTGTAGCTTAGGATTCTGGTACCTCAAGTTTCTGTAAGGGAGAAAGTCAGCCATCTCTGATGTTCCAGGTCTCTTTGTATCCACACACCGAACTTGAATCTGCTGTCACTATCTGTTAAGTGCTACAGCAACTCGTCAGCACAGATCGCTTTGCTTCAATTAGGTGCATGTGCTGAAACAAATTGAAAAAGCTGACCTCACCATTGCTTCTCATTTGATCTTTTGGGTCTGTGCAGGAGGAGCCATATGTCATGCTTAAGAAGTCTGACAAGGCACTGGTTGGGAACGACCGTTTTGAAGGATTCTGCATCGACTTGCTGAAAGAGCTGGCCAAAATCCTGGGATTTACGTATGAGATTCGCCTGGTGCCAGATGGGAAATATGGCTTTCAGGATGACAAGGGCCAGTGGAATGGCATGGTTAGAGAACTTATAGAACATGTAAGTTTTATTTCATCTTTCTTTTTCTTCCCCTTCTTTACTTGTTATAGCTGATGACATACAGTAAGGTATAAAATACCATACAGTATTTTCTTTATATATAATTCATATAATAAACCTGTCTGCATCTGCAATCTTTACTAATTAGCACACTCTGTGTTTTTAATGTTCAGACAAGCACTTATCTCACTATAAAAGCTAGAGTTTGTAGTCTGCAGTCGTATGCGTATTCCTGTTCTGAGTCATACGAATAAGCACAAAGGGAATACAACCGAATGCTTGGAGGTACTGTTGCTCCGAAGTCCCTTTAAGATTGTGTATGCTCAGAAAAATGATTAAGTTAATACCTGGTTTGAAAAATGGTGATGAAAAAAAACTACTTGAAGTTAAACACCATGTAATTGTTGGTTAGAATAGGAGGGGGTGAACAACAAAGTCCGGTGTCAACTCTACAATGGAGAGCATATTAATAGGAAAATCTTATAAATAAATGAAACAGATGTCATAAGTTTCTTTTTTGTTCCTCCTGATATTGATCTGAGTTATTCAATAGTAGTACAAATCTGCAGGTCTTTATTCCCCATTAAATTCTATGTTGATGTTGTTAAAATCCTTTCAATATGTGTGCTGTAAAAGAAAAGATATTTCATAAGTATCAGATGGTTTACATTTGTAATGTGATTCTATCTCACTTAGTTCTTCTATTGATTATAATCCTGACAGTAAATACTAACTCTGTTTGCCTTTATAGGAAAATTCTGTTGAAATTCTGTTATATACTGATTTTCTGCTGCAAAGCAACTACAATAGGTAACTTCAAAACAGTTATTCCATTTGAAAACAGTGCATCATTTAAAAGTGTATTTAATGTTGTTCTCTCGTCATTTTTTTATAATCTCTTGTTTGCCTTTAGCAATTTTTGTGAAAATGAGGTCCAAACTTGCATGCAAAATGTCTGCATTCAGAAAGGAGGCATTGGTTCCTGGGGCTGTTGTTATTAAAATCATTATCATTATTACCTCCAACAGCTTAGAACTTCATCTTTCTTTTACAGCCCCTCCCAAACTGCTAGTAGCACACACAATTTATCCATTTAATTAGAAACTGATCTGTTATCTTATGCACACCACCTTTTCAGATAACCTGAAACAAGCCCACAAGCTGAACCAGCAATTCATTTTTTACATGCAATTTATCGCTCCTTATCAAAAATCAGGGCCTTGTTCTCTGTTTTGACGAGATCAAAGGATAATTAATATCACATCATATTTGCTTGTTAATCATCAGCTTTGTTTTGTTGCATTAAAAACTCACCACTATACTTTAAATGATATAAAATTCAAAGACTCCATCCATCCATCCATCCATCCATCCATCCATCCATCCATCCATCCATCCATCCATCCATCCATCCTTATAGAAAATACATGGTATGATACATGGGTACAATGTTCTGTAATTAGACTTGCCAACTCTTTTTTTTTTGATGCAATGTTCAGAAGTAAAAAAAAAAAATTAGTTTCTGTACCCAGGGGTTTTGACGATGTCAGCATACGACCACATAGAGTCATTAAACATCTAACATTGACCAATCATAGCCACTTTGTATAATTATGTTCATCTGTGTAAAGGTTACAGAGTTTTTTTATGTTTTTGATGACAAGGAAAGGCTAGGACCTTAACATGCCCAAAATCTTACTACTTAGATAGATTTAATTTCTCATGCTTTTAGAGGATATTGAGCAAATTCGAAACCAACACCTAAAAATCACTGGAATTACCATGAATGTTTTTAGTTTTGGCCATTACGAAACAGTCAATGATCATGTGACCCAAATTGTGCAACAACCTGTTGGTACCAGAAAAATAACTTTTTGTTGTTTTGGAGGGGTGTATCTTTGGACCAAAACTTCAAGTACTGACATGGTCTGGCTGGGTTTTGGAGGGCTCATTAGAGCCCTTTAGCCATGTTCCCTCTTATTTCATTGAAATATTTAAGTGTACTTAGGGGTGGAATTTTGTGTGAAGTTGGTGACATTTTGAAAATGTATAGTTCCCTAAAAATTACATCAATTTTAGAAGAAAAATAAGTCATTTGGGATTACCATGGGCCTTTGTAGAGCTTGGGTCTGATTAGAGGGTTATTTATTTTTTTTTTTTGGTCACCTAAAGCTCCAATTCCATCTTAATGCAGATGAGCAATAGTCATTAGGTGATGATGTGATTAATAATGTCTGGTGAATTTTACACCTGCTAAAGACCATTTTCCTTATTTGTGGACATGATTTTTTTGGACAACTATTGGTTTTCCAGCATAAAATAAAACACAAAACCCCCAAAACGGATAAAAAAAAACAACAACTTGAATTTAGTACTAGTTGATGCTCCAGTATATATATTTTTAATCCAAGTCTTTATTGTGATTTGACACTAACCCCTGCTGCTCCAACTGTTTGTGGAAGCAACGTGTAAACTCTGCGGTGCTGCTGTGCCATACCTTTGTAGCTCATCACAGCCAGTAAGTCAGAGCAGTACCACCGGCTACACTTCAGCGCACTTTTGAAGCATCCCAGACTGCTACGTGCCACTTCTTTAAAATATGGGGCTCTTCCATTTTTGCATCCTGCTGCTCAAACTCTTCCATCCAGAGCAAATTGTTCAGGTAATAAGTCAGTTGATGAAGAGTGAAGTGGTTCGAGTCAAGTTAACAAGGATAAGACAACATGTGTAGACTGTGGATCCAATTCGCCTACCTTTTATGTGATAACATACTATTTATACTGTTAATTGACAGCCATAATAAATATGATCATGAAATTCTAAAAAAAAATAAAAAGAAAATAAAATGGGGATTAGGTTAGTACTGGCTAAATAACCAATTTAATGTACTGTATACTGTACTATATACAACGCCACACAAATCCGCCACACAAAACTGATCTGAATCCAAGCCCAGCGAGGCGCTCCACTCTGAAATCTTTCCGAATGGAACAGTGTGCCAGGCAGGATCTGCCAGATCCATTGCAACCACAGTGTTAGGATTAAACTCATCTTTGAGTTAATGCAGATGTGTGAGTAAAATTTAAAGTTCTGGTTTAAATTTTGTGTAGTTGGTATGTTACCATTCAAAACATTTTTTTTTCTTTATTAGACTTGACTACAATGTTTTATATATGCTAAAATAAGTTTTCAATAGTCACTCAACTCCTTCTTTGTATGAAAATGAGCAGGCCCTGCAACATTTGAAAGATCTCTGGATTTGTTGTGCTCAGATTTTTTTTGTTTTTTGAAAATTTTGCCATTTAATGTGAACATAAACACTATAGTGTAATAGGGACAATTCAGCGAATTTCAGATAGCCTATCATACTCACTGTGTCATGTGAAATTTTATTGCCCTGTCAGGCTTTTAAAATTGCTCACTATAGAGCAGGGTTCCTCATTTCCAATCCTCAAGGTCCGATGTCCTGTACTTTTTAGTTGTCTCTGCTTCAATGCACCTGAGTCAAATAATAACATGATTAGCAGGATTCTTGAGAACCAGACTGCAGAGTGAGGAGAAGATTTAGACATTGTGTTGAAGTCACATCTAGAAGTTGTAGGACACCAGACCTTAAGGGCCGGATTTGAGGAAGCTTGCAATAAAGTGTGCTTTACAATTATCTCTTTAGCTGTATTAAACAGTAAGCAAAGCTTTAAGAGGTTTACATTAACAAAATTGTTTTTATTGCTTTAAAAAACAAGGTTTTAATAGCCTAACCCATTTTAGTCCTCGGGTAAGCTTATTTTTAATGCTCAAGTTTTTGTCTAAAACAAGGAGATAATTGGTTCTGACATAAAAAATGTTTACTTAGTGTAATAATTTTGTGTCATACAACATTTCCAAAGGGAAGCCATGCAGCTGAACCGCGGCTGGTGTCCTCCATGTGGACAGAGATATAGTTATGATTGAGTACAAGTCAGGAGGAGCTTGCCAGCCTGTCAGTTACATTTATGGCACAATGATGTCAAGGTTGCCCAAAAGTTATGAGTGTGCTGATGCAGCTTGGTGAAACGCACTACTTGCCACAACTGGATGACCAGAGGTCTAAAAAAATAAAAAACACCCAGCAAAGCATATTGAAAGGATTGGAGCAAATGTGTCAGCCATCATCTTTCCACAAGACAGTAGACAATCGCAGCAGTCTGTAATAAACTTAAAACCTCAGCGGCCATGAAACAGCCTTACATTCAAACTGTGGTGGTTATTCTCTCCTGGCATTTCATAAGTGTCCCTCTCGGTGCACTCCCTCTGTCCTCAGCCCCATCAGGTCAGAGCTGTACTCAGCTGAAAACTTGTAATAGTGTAAGTGGCATTTAGTGCAGGGAATTGTGTGGCAGGAGTCAATGGCTTGGTGCTGAAAGGGTTGGAAAAGGTGGACTCCCACTGCAGCACTTTATTTCTACACAAAAGCTTTTCGCCAGATCCACGTTGATAACTATAACCTTTAGAGGAGCAAATGGATTACCAGAGGCACACAAGTTGGGCACAAACTGGAAATGCATGTCTCCATAATTTAAAAGCACATATGTTTTTGTCTTTGGTTTTAAAGTGAAAAGGTCCTTTTTACCACAGCAAATCAGGTCATTAGTTAGTAGGAAAAGGAAAAGCTGTAGAACTGTTAAATACACTAGCTGCTCATGACATAATTTTTAAATATGTTTTTCATTGGGGTTACCATATGGTGATGAAGAACGCTGTGCTCTGCATACATTTAGATAGAAGCTTTTCAAGGCAGAGCATAAGGAAGTAGTAGCATCTGGAGTTCAAACTAGGTATTTACATTTACTGTAAAAGAAACAACAACAAAAAAACGTATTTCTCTTTGAGTTTTTTGTTTTTGTGCTCTTTAGTCTCAGAAGTGTACATTAATTTATACTTAGTATTTTGTAAAAATTTCTATAGGACCAGTGTCACCCTCGTTGGACTTTTGCCAATTTCTCCTTACAGAACTGATGTAA